ATGCACATTATAAACACAACAGTTCTAAACAAAAAGCAATCTTAGCACCGAAAATTAATATCACTTAGTCAAAGAAGAGAAACAATACAGTAACCAAATGTAATACTAGTAATAACAATAACAGTATAGCAGTAAATGTAACAGCAGTAATAAAAAATAAAGACAGTAAAATAATTTCATAAGAGCAATAAAAGCAATCTCGGCACTGAAAAATATTATCTACGGCTTTTTCGAAAGAACAGAGTGAATCAATATCGACAACATCCCCGGGAAGGCTGTTCCACAAATCAATTGTATGCACAAAAAAAGATTGTTTATAGCTATTTATTCGAGCTTTAATAGGGGCTACGGTCTTTGAGTGATGCAAGCGTTCCGAGTAAAAACTTTTTGGTTTTAAGTAAACGGAGCCATCAATTTTTATTGAAAATCTGAAAGAACAGCTTCAACCGTTGGCTCTCTCTTCTGTTTGACAGAGGGCTTATATTGGCTCTCCTTTTAAGTTCGGTCACAGACGTAGTTCGTCTGAAATCTGAAAAAACTATACGCACAGCTAGCGACTGAATATCTTCGAGTTCTCTGACCAGAGAGCTCTGCCATGGGCTCCACACTGCAGACGCGTATTCTAACACAGGTCTAGTAATTGTCTTATACGCAAGAATTTTAACGGAAGGGGGAGTTTTACCCAGCGTTCTCTTCAGGTACCACAATTTGTTAGTTGCCCGCTTTTTAACATACTCCACATGCCTTTTCCACCCGAGGTCAGAAGACAAAATCACTCCTAAATATTTGTAACTATCCACTTCAGTCAATACTACGCCAGCAACCTCATAGCTAAAGTTTAAGACAGTTCTTTTTGTTGTTATGTGCATGTACTGAGTTTTGCTAATATTAATCTTCATGTTATTTTCACGACACCAAGACGCAATGTTAGCCAGTGCTTTACTCACTTTTATCTGGTCTTGTATTTCAACAACGGGACTGCAAATGACGCAGTCGTCGGCAAACATTCTTAGCTTAATTGGGACATCTTCATTGGATGGGAACAAACTGTTAACGTAAGTTAAAAAAAGTAGGGGCCCTAAGACAGAACCTTGGGGCACCCCAGAATGAACATCTAACAGCCCTGAGTAAGTACCATTTATATCCACAAATTGTTGACGGTTTGAAAGATATGCATTGATCCACTTAGTCAAAGAAAAGGGAACTCCGAGATCTATTAATGTCTTAATCAGTCTGCGGTGAGGTACCCGGTCGAATGCCTTCGACAGGTCGATGAAAACTGCATCAACCTGCGTACGGTTGTTAACGTAAGTGGCTAATTCATGGTAAAATTCAATCAACTGGGTTACCGTTGACAGGCCCCTGCGGAAACCATGTTGGTTGGGGTTTAGAACATTATGCATTTCTAAGAAAGAAACGAGTTTCTAAGAAAGAAACGAAACAAGGGCGTGGGGTTTTGTAGTGTCTGAGAATAAAGAGGCACTGCAGACAAGAAGACTGTGTCCTCGGTGTTGCTTGCCCACCCCCGTAAGATGTGGAGACACACTTCATTGAAAACCTACGTGATTTACTAAGACAGGGCTTTCTGCAGAACCCCGTAGGGGGCTGTGCAGAGAATACAGGTCGACATCAAGCCTTCAGAATTCACAGGTACCATTCGACAAGAATGCTGTAGCTGGACCTGAAACAAGCCGACGTGGGAAAGTACGGAAGCCGAGAAAACAAATGTGTCGGCCAAGCCGCAGCAAGGACGTCCCAGCACGACTGCGGACAGCGTTAACCTGGCTGTGCAAATTGACCACCGTAACGCAGACTGGACGTCCCTCGGAGACAAATGGCAAATGGCGGAGACAAATGGCTTTCAGACAGAAACAACGCCTGCGTTCAAATTTTGGCCGTCAAGGGAAAAGGGACGTAGCTTGAGGGTTCAAACTGAACAGGTAGCAAGCTAGAAGGTTACTCGTGCTTCAGTTTAGCTCATCTTGCGCCAGAAAGTGCAGAAGGGGACAAAATAGAAAGTGCGGGGCCAGTTGTACTGTAGGGGCATGTCTACAAAAAGCTCCGTAGGGTTGTGTGGAGGCCCTCTTGCAGCACAGATGTGTATTTGTCCTCACCGTCTCTGGAAAAGACGACCATAACACAGAAGGAACGTCCCTCGGAGACAAAAGGCAGACTTTTTGTATTCCGCAGTAACCATGCCTGCGTTCAAATTTTGGCCGTCAAGGGAAAAGGGACGTAGCTTGAGGGTTCAAACTGAACAGATAGCAACCTAGAAGGTTACTCGTGCTTCACTTTAGCTCATCTTGCGCCAGAAAGTGCAGAAGGGGACAAAATAGAAAGTGTCGGGCCAGTTGTACTGTAGGGGCATGTCTGCAAAAAGCTCTGTAGGGTTGTGTGGAGGCCCTCTTGCAGCACATATGTGTATTTGTCCCTTCCCCAACAATTTGATAGTTGTACGTACCTATAATGGTTTTCTAATTACGAGCGAGCGGCAGCTCTTTGAAGTCTTGCTCGCGCTCTGGTGAGCCTTCAAACGACTAGCCGCTCCGCCGAGCGCGCGCCGCACGAGATGAATGAATTAAAATAATCTCGCGCGCATAGCGAACGTTCCTTTTACCCGAGGGAGCGCTTCAGAACAAAAAAGCAAATTGTGGTAGCAAATGATGAAGCGCTGAGCAATATCGAACCCGAAAATTAGTGCTTTCCTCTGGAAAGTCGCATCAGTGCTCGTAGAGTAAACTATCGACTCGATCCGAGGTAAACTACAGTCGTCGGGTCTTCTACGGAACGCGTGCTCACGTTTGACACCAACATCGCGGCTCGGAAACGAAAATTCAGCCTCGGAGGTCCGAACACAGGTTCGGAAATTAGAATTGGCCGCCATGACCATGCCCACGGTAAAAGCGTCGTAGCTTCGCGAAAGCTTTTATTTCACACGTTCAAAGTGGTGTCCATAGAGTCTAGAAAGAACAAGGAACACATCGGTGCTAGCGGCGATGAGATACGACCAGTATTAATGAAGGAAGTGTCTATTCTGCCGGCAGCCGGCAGAATAACCGGCGGGGGAAAAAGTGCCGGCAGTAGTCGCCTATTGGGTCTCGTATAAAACGGATTGTAAACGCGCCTCTTCCGAGCTGTGGATTAGCTCAGTGGGTAAGATGTGCGCTTCGTACACAGCAGGATCTTAGTTCAATCCCCCGAGAAAATTTGTTTTTTTTTTTGTCTTCGGACTTTTGTTTTTTGTTGAGGTATTAGGCGATATTTACGGCATCTCTCTTTTAGAATTAACACTACAAAAAGAACACGCAAAAAAAACAAAAAAAAAAACAAACAGAAAAAACACCAGAAATCAGCCGAGTTCTCCGAGCGGTTTTAATAGGTCGATAAAACAACTTTTGCGTTTGCTATCTCGAAGAAATTTGACACACAAGCAGTCCTACCTGGTGCGAGACCCTTCCCCAACAATTTGATAGTTGTACCTATAATTGTTTTCTAATTACGAGCGGGGGCGGCAGCTCTTTGAAGAATATCAATCCACTCGTGCTCGGGAGACCGTCCCTGTTGATCGAAAAGTCTCGATTGAGATGAGCTGACACGGTTTCACTGCACACACATGTTCCTATGATGTTCTTTTCACGACCACGATCGATGAATGCACTCCAGCGGTCTTGAATATTCACGGGTGAACGATTGAACTGGGTCGGGGTTTTTAATCTCCAAGCAGAGTTCCAAAAACCTGTTTTCGCGAGTATAACGAGTTCTAGACGAGCTGGAGCGATGAAAATTTAACAGTGCGTCTAAATTCAGAGCGCGATCATTCGCTGCGAATTAGAACCTTCCAACTATCGTAGTTTTCTTTATACGAGCGTATGCCAAATCACAACACCACAGAATGAAGCCTTACACGTAAACTTTTTATTCGTAACTTTCTTATTAGATTAGCTACATCGATGAGACGCGCCTAGAATGTTCCTCGGAACATCCCACTCGCCTGGTTAAAATAAATGACCCAGCTAGCACTTGTGGATTGATATACTTGAATACAAAGTACAGAGATACAAAAAAAGAAGAGAAAACGCAAGTTCAAAGGCTGTATAGATAATACAACGCCGCTGACAGCGTCTTGCAATAAGCGCAACAGAGAACGTTAAAATAATGCATGTGCTCGCTTTTGGGCGAGCACACACATAAAAAAACACATTTCTTTTTTTTTTTTTTTCACGATTACCACAGGAAAAAGTCAAATTTCTGAATAATACTGATAAGGTACTTACTTTGTTTCCGCAGGTGTGCACAGCAGGGGCCTCTTTGTCCGTTTAACCTCAGATTGTTATATTATATTAAAAACGCAACACCAGGTAATCCGTAAAATGGGAGAGCGGAACAGGGGAAAATTGTAATGTAATAGCTCACAACAAAGTTGGGAGGAGTGGAAGTAGTGGGCAAGAGGAAAATTAAAACACCATGCAAAGAGTTGCACATGAAACAAACGCTCGATCGACTACAAAACATTGTCAGATATAAATCTGCGATGAGGTAGGCTGTTTCATTCTGTTATGGTTCTGGGAAAAGAGTATTTAAATGCATTTGTAAGCAGATCAAGACCCTATGGCGTCGGGAAGTATTTAAATTCTTTTTTTATATTTGGTTTCTATTCATTTACACTGCAGGCCATTTCCCATCCCCAAGCAGGGTGCGACGAGAAGGAACAAAAAAAATAACAGTAAACCGACAAATCTGGTACACTGGAGATCACAAAAAGAAAGAAGAAAAAACACAAGTTCAAAGGCTATGTATAGATATAATAGAACGCCGCTCATAGCGTCTTGCAATAAGCTCAAACATAAGAAAGAAGAATTTATGTCCTCGCTCTTTTTTTTTTTCACGATTACCACGGGAAAAAATCAAATCTCTGAACAAACTGATAAGGGACTTACTTCGTTTCCGCAGGTGTGCACAGCAGGGGCTTCGTCCTCACCAGCAAAACACAAAACAACAGATTTCTCCGTTTTAACCTCACGTTTTATTAGGCTTGACGTCAAACTTTATTAGGCCGACAATGCAAGTTTCCGGACGAGAGCTGTCTCGATGAAAACACACTTGTTCCTATTCAGTGAATTCGCACGAGCTAACACGATTTCATAAAAACACTTTTTGCTTGGAGCAAGTTCTCAGTTGCCATTCAAGCGGTCTTGATTAAGCACAGGTCATCCGCAGCTGAAGGAGGTCACTTGAAACGGAGGGCCAGCCGTGCAACTCGCTCTTGCGCTGCACAAAAAGACAACCTTTAGCGCCCTACATTAAAGATGCACCGAACGTTCTTACGCCATACACATATATTTTTTCTTTTCTTTCGTGCGTCAGAGGCCGGCTTCCTAGCTCGGCGCCGCCGATTCCGTGTTTCGCGTGAAAAGAACAAAAGAATTCGTGCAAGAAGTCGGCTCCAACGGTCGCCCAACAGACAAAGGGGCTGTAGCAGACGACAGAGGTTCGGGGAAAGCTCACGCCACTAGCAAAGCCTGGCCTGGCGCTGCTGCCCGCCCGCCGAAACCGCTCCTCCTTTCCCTCCTTCGGGAGACGCTAGTATCTTTTTTTTTCGGCTTCTTGTCGGCTGCGTTCTTGGCGCCCGACTTGATTGACAGCCTCTGTCTCGCGGTCTGCTTTAATCTCTTCTTCCCTGCCTTGCAGCGGGGACTGCTCCTCTTTGTGCAATAGCTACTCTGGGGCGTTTTTCTTTTTGCTATTCTTTGCTTTAAAAGCTCTTTCCCTGCGTCTAGCAAACACACACACTTCTTTCGCGGCACCGTTAATGAACACCGTCTGCGTTTAGAAACTTACAAACGAACAGCCCCGAACTCGATTACCGAAGCGCCGATGAAATTAATCAGCGCGCCCAGCGAAAACCCAACACGCTCGAACGCTGATTTTACGATGCAAGATAATAAAAAAAACGTACTTGGACACTACCAACCCAATTACAGCAACAAATTAAGAAATACGAGGAAAACAATATTGCGCAATCCTTAATCGGACGTTCGAATCGCGGCTGACTTCGTTTTATCAGTTAAAAAAAATAATAAACGTAGGTAGACACGCTGAACTTCGCGTATAGCCACTCTAACACATACCGTTTTAAAGCCAACAGTTTATTTACTATTTCGTGCCAACTGAGAAATCGACACGAGCTCAAAAGACGAATTTTGCCTAACGAAAACTGCCCAAACGCCTAGGATGTGCAGGTCACGCTTGCATAATTGTGGAATGCCTTTTTCCCACCCTATTATAGTTTGATCGCTCACTCCTCTCTTTTTCCGAGGCAGTATTCCATCATTTCGCGATGGAATACGCGCTTCAAAGCTTAATACACTTTATCCCAGTCGAAAATTCTCATTAGATTCCAATTACAGTTTCCAATTGGTACCAGTTAGGTTTTCGGACAACCAATAGGTCACTGTAATGGGAACCAACGGGAACCATTTGAAACCCATTAAGTTTCCAACTGGAAAATTTTTTCCAACTGGTGAGACCCATTGGCCAGTGTACTTCCAATTGGAACCCACTAAAACCGATTGGTTCCAATTAAAACCAGTTAGAATTCCAATTGGATCTAATGATAATTTTTAGCTGGGATATCTTTGCAGAGCATGGACCTATCAAAAAAAAGCACTTGCATCAAACATGCATCGGTAATTCTTGCTCGCGCTCTGGTAAACAGCCTTAAAAAAAAAAAAAAAAAAGAAGACCAGCCGCTCCGCCGAGAATTCAATTCATCTTGCGCGCCTATATCACGCTCAATATAGTAGATCCCATTAAAAGCCTTCTTTGCCGACACTCGGAAAAGCGTGCAGAATCACGCACGCTCCGAAAAGAACATTTCCATCTACCAACCGCCGAGCACAACAAACGCTCTTCTAATCTCCTCGCAAAACGCACGCGCTCACACAAACGACTTTGGGCAAAAACAAAGATCATGAAATGATCTTTGTTTTTATTCCCAGCGTCATGTACACGCATTTCTTGCGTGGAACAACGAATGAATAACTGCTATCTGCGTTTAATTCGATCTAGAAATCCCGTCGCGCCCGTTTGTTTACTTTCTGCCTTCCAGGTTAGACAACCTTCCTTCAAAAAATCCTAAAAAATCACCAATTCGTGCTAGAAGTGCCTGCCTCGGACGATAGGTAGCGAACAATTAGCGCCTTAGTTTGCGATTAAATAAGCTTCTGTACGCGTTTAAATAAAACTTGAAAGCACGCCGCCCGTCACGCGCGATGCCGGCGTTCGCTTTTCCAGGAGGGTTAAACACACTGCTCCTTTTTTCTTTAAGTTGAAAAAAGGTAATAATAAAAGTAGATAGAGATTCTTAATTTCGTGTGCCGTTAGACAAACGTGTGCGCTAAGAGCACAGAAAAAGAGACTGTTCTAAAGGTAGTAGTTCACTTTTATTTTTAATTTTTGCCTGATCTTAGACGATCGGATCGCGGCTCGAGCGCGCTTTCCGGACTCAACCGCTTCACTAACCCAAGAAAAAATAGTTGTACGCATATCGAAGTATATATTTTCCGAAAGCTAATGAACTTGTCCAATAGGTGTAAAAATTATTTGATTTTAAACGGAATTATTCTTCTTCATATTTCGATCTAACCAGCCAAACTAGTTTTCGGGTGCTCTGGGTGGCTGGTCGATTTAAGTTAAAAAAAGGTAATAATAAAAGTAGATAGAGATTCTTAATTTCGTGTGCCGTTAGACAAACGTGTGCGCTAAGAGCACAGAAAAAGAGACTGTTCTGAAGGTAGTAGTTCACTTTTATTTTTAATTTTTGCCTGATCTTAGACGATCGGATCGCGGCTCGAGCGCGCTCCGGACTCAACCGCTTCACTCTCTAACCCAAGAAAAAATAGTTGTACGCATATCGAAGTATATATTTTCCGAAAGCTAATGAACTTGTCCAATAGGTGTAAAAATTATTTGATTTTAAACGGAATTATTCTTCTTCAGATTTCGATCTAACCAGCCAAACTAGTTTTCGGGTGCTCTGGGTGGCTGGTCGATTTAAGTTAAAAAAAGGTAATAATAAAAGTAGATAGAGATTCTTAATTTCGTGTGCCGTTAGGGAAACGTGTGCGCTTAGAGCACAGAATAATAAGATTCTTGTGAAGCGAGTAGTTCGTTTTCATTTTTAATTTTTGCCTGATCTTAGACGATCGAATCGCGGCTCGAGCGCGCTCCGGACTCTCCCGCTAAAAATCGGACTCTCCCGATAAAAATCAAAGCTAGAAGCAGACAAAGAACGCACCCGACAAGAAGCAACGCCAAAGAAAGATAACGGATACAGTCTCAAAGAGCTAAGTGGGTCAGGGGGCCCAGGCAAGGGGTGGCCCTAGGGTGCCTCAATGTCCTTCTGTTTAGGGTGATGCCACCCTTTGTAGTACCTGATGCGGACAGCACGCGCTCACGGGCAAAATACAAAGAAATCGACGAAAACAAAATGTCGCCATAGCACAGTCAGCGCCACAAGCGCGTGCAGGGACGCGCTCTTTCACCTGCTTCTCAACAAAAAATAAACGTGTGTGACAAAATGGCGACATGCCACCACCCTAAGCAAAGCGCGCATGAAGGCACCCTAGGTGGCCCGGCGTGCGCGTTCTAAGCGGAGTCGAGTTAGAAAAAAGATTTCAGCGCGTGGTTCACCAAATGCAAAGGTAGAAATATGACATTTTCTAAAAATGCCTGGCACTTCGTTCTCTTCTACAGCACGAGCCGCGACGTTCGGCAACCGCTTCGAGGATCTGACCGGCTGTGTCCCGGTATCGACCACCTGAACCGGGAGCTACGCACGGTGCGAAGGGAACAGCGGAGGCACGAGCATCTACGCCACCCCGTCCCTGGACTGAGTGGCTACACAAGCGAGGAAACGAGCCTCGTCACGACATATGCCGGGGAATCTCTAGGCCTCGTAGAACTTTCTGTCTCCCGACCCTTCTCTTACCAACCCCGGACGAGCCTGTGACAATGTGCGACAGACATTGCTAATTGTTCTGTACAGAAGAGAACGAAGTGAGATGACAATTTCGTGTGCCGCTAAAAAAACGTGCGCGCCAAGAGCACAGAAAAACAAGTTAAAAAATGTAATAATAAACGGAGATAGAGATTCTTAATTTCGTGTGCCGTTAGAGAAACGTGTGCGCTAAGAGCACAGAATAATAAGATTCTTGTGAAGCGAGTAGTTCATTTTAATTTTTAATTTTTGCCTGATCTTAGACGATCGAATCGCGGCTCGCTCGCGCTCCGGACTTTCCCGCTTCACCTGCTTCACTCTCTAACGCAACGAGAAATACTTTTACGCATATCGAAGTATATATTTTCCGAAAGCTAATGAAATTCTCCAATAGGTGTGAAAAGCACTTGGTTTTAAACGAATTATTCTTCTTTTTTTGCTGAAAAACTCAAATCACTTTCGTTTGGCAAATAATCAAAAACTCGAAATTAAAGGATAGTATAATGGACGTACACTTACCCCAATGTGTCGAACGAAAGGAGGCCCTTTGACGAAGGCAGGAAGCGTGAGGCGACGTTCGGGGTCCGAAGAAGAAGAAGACCGATTTCGGAACAAAGAACAAAGAAGGAGCTGGACACTGGCGACTACGCGACTGCTCCCAAGCACAACGGAAACCACACTGGGGCCGGCCTCTGGGAACAAAGGAAAGCGGAGGAGGATGAGCGAGGAGGAGAGGGAAAGAGAAGGAAAAAAGTCGGGAAGGGGATCGCGCCGCCTGGTGGAGGGCAGACACACCACTCGCATCGGGTATTTTTTTCTTTATTATTTTGTTTATTTTTTGCACTATTTATTAAGGGAAGCATTCTCGTTGATCTCCCTTCATTAATACTGGTCGTATCTCATCACCGCTAGCACCGATGTGTTCCTTGGTCTTTCTAGACTCTATGGACACCACTTTGAACGTGTGAAATAAAAGTTTTCGCGATGCTACGACGCTTTTACCGTGGGCATGGTCATGGCGGCCATTTCTCCTTTTAGAAACCTTTGTTCGGACCTCCGAGGCTGAATTTTCGTTTCCGAGACGCGATGTTGGTGTCAAACGTGAGCAGGCGTTTCGTAGAACACCCGACGACTGTACTTTACCTCTGATCGAGTTGATTTTTTACTGTACGAGCACTGATGCGACTTTCCACAGGAAAGCACTAATTTTCGGGTTCGATATTGCTCAGCCCTCCTCCCTCGTACGTTTTCTGAGAAAACTGTTTTTGTTTCTTGTTTAGCAACGGCCAGCGCACCTTTCGAAAGTTATTAGAAAACTTTATCTGCTCTGGATTTTAAATAAAGACACACCTGGGTCCTGTAGCCGAAAGATTTTTTTTTCTAAGCTTTGGAACCTCCTTTCGTAAAGGTATGCCTACTGAAATTTGAGGCCTCTGGTACCTTGCTACCTGTGAAGTTTCAACCCTCTGGATCCATCCGTTTTTCTCTGACGGCCAAAATTTGAATGCAGGCCTGTCTTAGTAAATCACGTTCAGGGGCTCTGGAAGCGGGGGGGGGCAGGGTGGGCTTGAGCCCCTCCTGTCCTCAGGACCGAGCTGCCGAGCCCCCCCTCCCCCTCCCTCTTTTTTTTCTTTTTTTTTAGTTTGTGTGTTTGCAGGTTATCTGGTATGGGCCTTCGGCCTATTTCCTGTACCTCCGTCTCTCCTGAGCCGAAATAAATGAAATGACTCTTTATACATGCTGACCTACCGCCCTCCTCACCTCCGCCAAGCACAAAAAGCACCGGGGCGACGGAGAGGCTTGCTTGAAAAGTCAAAACCAGAAGAAAATGACAGGCAGGACTCATGAGCCTGATTGACAACCAGTTTAGAGCGAGCAAAGAGGAGACAGCGAAATGAATGGATTCCGACAAGACGACGTCGGCCAGCGTTTGTCTGCTTCCCCCGTGTGGAAGCAAGAAGCCCAGAAGATGCATGGTGCTTCTGGCCCGCGGACAAAACAGGCAGGCGCTTAAAGGCCATCATTAGGAAAAGGGGGAGGGGGGGGGTCTGGTGAGCTTGAGTGGGGATTCGGGAGTGCTTAGAAAAGGCGAAAGTCTACGAGCTCCCAAATTTGACAAGGCGCCTTTGATGGCGAAAGCTTTGCGCGCATGCGGCGTCGTGCCCGCAGGGTGGTGAGGCATGAGGCGACACATGTTTACAAACTAAGGACAACACAACACGAAGTCTGAAACACAGCTATTATCCTTCAGTACTCTCCTTTTGTGATGCCCCCCAACTTGTATTGACGCCAGGAGTCCGAAGCGATCACGGTCGATGTACTTGATCCTGAGGTACATACCGATGTATGCAACCTCTGCTTCCAGTTAAGACATCCGATGGCCCAACTTGCTGTGTTTGAGACTCCGTGTTGTGTTGTCCTTTTTTCCCCCGAGTTTCGGGGTTTTGTCTAAAACTTTTAACACTTGTTTGTCTACGTCTGCGTTAATACATCATGCTTCCCCGAGAATCCCTAAATGAAGGAAGGTTTTCATTTTTAGACATAGCCAATTTGGCATAGGCACAGCTGCGGTTGACATGTAACAGTTGGTATAGGAAAGAAAAAATAAAGAACACATGGTGCGGCTGATTTCAGTGGTTATCCAATCATTGTATGAGTTGTCAGTGAAGCTTCTTACTGTTATTTTACTGAACCATTGTTTTAATTTGTTTTCCATGGATATGTGCGTGAATATGCGAACGCGGTGCATTAATATGTTTTCATTCAAATGTGGCAATTAATGTCAACCTGAAACCAACCTAACCTTGAGGATTTCGGAGATGTCGAGCCCCCCCTCTAAAGAAAGACTTCCGGAGCCTCTGGTCACGTTTGTTTTGATTAAAGTGTGTCTCCACATGTTACGGGGTGTGGGCTCTGTAGGGTTGTGTGGAGTCCCTCTTGCAGCACAGATGTGCATTTGTCCTCACCGTCTCTGGAAAAGACGACCATAACTCAGAATGAACGTCCCTCGGAGAAGAAAGGCACACTTTTGGTTTGGCGCAGAAACAACGCCCGCGTTCAGATGTTGGCCGTCAAGTGAAAACGGACTTAGCTTGAGGGTTCAAACTGCTCAGATAGCAACCTAGAAGGTTACTCGTGCTTCAGTCGAGCTCATCTTGCACCAGAAAAAGCACAAGGGGGGAAAATAGGAGTGTGGGAGCGGTTGTACTGTGGCGGCATGTCTAGAAAAAGCTCAAAAGTGATTTGTGGAGTCCCTCTTGCGGCACAGATCTGTATTTGTCCTCACCGTCTCTGGGAAAGACCACCTTAACAAAAGAATGGACGTGAAAGTGAGGCAAAGGGCGTAGTTTTGCTTCGAGGTAGAAACAGCGCCTGCGTTCAGATGTTGGCCGTCAAGTGAAAACGGACTTAGCTTGAGGGTTCAAACTGAACAGATAGCAAGCTAGAAGGTTACTCGTGCTTCAGTCGAGCTCATCTTGCACCAGAAAAAGCACAAGGGGGCAAAATAAAGAGTGTGGGGCCAGTTGTACTCTAGGGGCATGTATACAAAAAGCTCTGCAGGAACAAACCTTTTCCTGAGGTGGACAGCAGGGGCCTGAAGACATAAATAAAAAAGAAGTGGCTCATTTAACGAGTCTTCACTGCGCCAGAAAAACAAGAATCAGCTCATTTCTTTTTGAGACCTCAGACTTTATTAGGCCAAGAATACAATTTTTCAGACGAGCTGTCTCAATGTAAAAACACACTTCCTTATTAGTACCCTTTTGACACACAAACAGTCCTACCTGGTGCGAGACCCTTCCCCAACAATTTGATAGTTGTACGTACCTATAATGGTTTTCTAATTACGAGCGAGCGGCAGCTCTTTGAAGTCTTGCTCGCGCTCTGGTGAGCCTTCAAAGGACCAGCCGCTCCGCCGAAGGCGCGCGCCGCACGAGATGAATGAATTAAAATAATCGCGCGCGCATAGCGAACGTTCCTTTTACCCGAGGGAGCGCTTCAGAACAAAAAAGCAAATTGTGGTAGCAAATGATGAAGCCGTGAGCAATATCGAACACGAAAATGACTGCTTTCGTGCGGGAAGTCGCATCAGTGCTCCTACAGTAAACTATCGACTCGATCCGAGGCAAACTACAGTCGTCGGGTCTTCTACGGAACGCGTGCTCACGTTTGACACCAACATCGCGGCTCGGAAACGAAAATTCAGCCTCGGAGGTCCGAACACAGGCTCGGAAAGTACAATTGGCCGCCATGACCATGCCCACGGTAAAAGCGTCGTAGCATCGCGAAACCTTTTATTACACACGTTCAAAGTGGTGTCCGTAGAGTCTAGAAAGACCAAGGAACGCATCGGTGCTAGCGGTGACGAGATACGACCAGTATTAATGAAGCGAGATCGAAGAAAGGATCGGTGCCTAAAGTGAGGAAAGCGAATGGCTGGCTTCGATGTGAAAACTTTCAAACGCCGTTTATTTCGCGAAACTCGCATCACACAAGAAAAGAAATCGGTCTCTGTCCAGTCCAGGGGCGGCTGGGAACAAGTGTCCCCCATTTGATATCGTAAATTCAAGGTCGTAATATAGATTTCAGAAATTCAATATTTTCAATGGTAAAACAAAAGGCACCAGGTGGCGGGATTTACCGACCGGTCGGAATTGCTCAGCCGCACTCATGGATCCATTCATTCGAAACGGGTCATCTATCTATTCATTCATAAAAAATTTCATTCCTGGCCGTGTTTTAAAATTAACGAAATCATACTGCGAGGTAAAGCTTCTGTACACCTGGCGTTTTGAAACCTGCCTGCGTCCAGCGTTCTTTCATTTCTGCTGTCACGTGACACGATCCGCCCGAGTAACTCGGGTTTATTAGGGTGAGATTTGAAACACAGCCCTGGTTTAATAAAACCAAACTTAGAATTACGGGAATCGTCTTATTTTTGAAAACGACGTCGTCGAGACCCGTGTTCCACAACAAGTTTAAATTATTTAGGTCAAGTATTTAGAAATTTACCGCCCATTCGTGGTTCTGGTTTGGTTTTTGCAAAAAAAAGCAAATGGCTGCCGCGTGTTTTGCTCGCAACCGGAGGTGATTCAATCGCACGAAGCTCGGAAAGTAGGCTAGCTAGGACATTTATTTTAACCAGGGAGTAAGATTATGTTCCGAGGAACATTCGAGGCGCGTCTCATCGATGTAGGTATTCTAAAAAGAAAGTTATCAACCGAAGTTTACGTGTAAGTAAGGCTTTCACTGTACGATGTTTTGATTTCACATATGCTCGTATAAAGAAAACTACGATAGCTAGAAAGTTCTAATTCGCAGCGAATGATCGCGCTCTGAATTTAGACGCACTGTTAAAATTTCATCGCTCCAGCTAGTCTAGAACTCGTTATATTCGCGAAAACAGGTTTTGGGACTCTGCTCGGAAATTAACAAGCCCGACCAAGTTCAATCGTTCGCCTGTGGATATTCAAGACCGCTGGAGTGCATTCATCGATTGTGGTCGTGAAAACAACATCATAGGAACATGTGTGTGCAGTGAAACCGTGTCAGCTCATCTCAATCGAGACTCATCGATCAACAGGGAGGGTGTCCCGAGCACAAGTGGATGGATATACTTCAAAGAGCTGCAGCTCGCTCGGAATTAGAAAACCATTAAGCTATCCGATTGTCGGGAAAGGGTGTCGCACCAGGTAGGAGTGTTTGTGTGTCAAATTTCTTCGAGATAGCAAACGCAAAAGTTGTTTTATCGACCTAA